TTATTAAAGATTATTGCGCAGTACATTTAGATTTGATTGGTCGCTGACTAATTAGCCAATCACATGAACGTTCTGCCAGAAATCTCTAGAATTACGCGATTAATGATTTATTACCATAAATGGTGTGATCGACATCGTCCATTTTTGGTAATATCCCTGACTGAATTATTAGTGAAGCTTATTTCTTATATTGCCTACCTATTCTATAGAATATCCTTTCTATTAATATTAGCTTATATTATAAATATTATTTATGTTTTTACAATTTTAATGTTTTATATTTTGATAATTTGTCTAGGAAAACTAATTTTATATTATCAAAAATTTAGACTTAATTTTAATCAAATTTATAATTTTGGCTAGCATTAAATCTATATATTTGTAACTTACATAAAAGTATATAAGAGCTATATAACTTATGATGTAAGTTACTATGTAAATTACATTGTCAGATAAGTTATCCCAACTCTAATTCCAATACAATAAATCTAAATACTTTAGATAGTCTGGCATTTTTCACCTAGACTCTTTCATCAACTAATATTTCTTTTTCAGCTACAATCATATATTAGCTATCTACTATCAAAGTATACCTTATAGGGGTCATATCAATTCTCTTAATTGCTTCACCAAACAGTAAGATAACTATATATATGCCCCACAAACCAACTATAAATTATGTGAACTCAGCTATACAATACTCATACAATCTCAATATTCTTATTCAAAAATGCAAATACTGGCCTCTTAAGCAACTTATCCAGATTCTAATTGCAAGAAAAAACTTAACTATTCAGTTTACTCTGATAGACCACAAAGTAAACTACCCACTCTTCCAAAAAACAATGAAACTAGCTATATCTTCGCAGCAATACAGAATCTAACTAATACTATATGCATTAGACAATAATAACTTTTATTTTACATTAAACAATGTACTAGTAGAATATAAAACTCACTAATTTATTTAGCATCTACAAAATGCAAGAAACACTGCTAAGTAGCATTCACTTAATAGAACAGCTGGCAAGATATTTGACAGAATACAAACTGAAGCAGTATCCACCAATTTATTAACTACAACAACAAACTACACAAAAGGTTTACACACCTAAAACCATCACTAAAAAAAACTTTAAAATTAAATTTCTATTAGATGAGCTACCAACACTGCTCAATCTACATTATCAATACCTAAAGAAATATATAAACCCAACATGCAACAGATGCATCCAGGCAATTGAAGACAATACCCATTGGTTAACTTGTCCAAAAATTTCAACATTACTATACCAACTAATAACAGAACCAGTTACAAAAACAAAAACAATCAGCTATTAGACCTAGCAACACTAGTACAAAGTTTTTTATAAATGACACAAGCACACCTAATACCCTACTACTAAAAGGACTAATTCCAGAGGATATCTAGACCATCACTTCAATCCACAACAATACATTTATCAAAATCTTGCACAAGATATCCAATAACATATACAAACAAATATGGCTTGAATGCTGTAAAGGTATATATTACAATCATCCCTTATGGACACATATACTACTATAACTCTGTCTCACCCTTCCACACATCACATTAGCACAATTAAATATAACAAATGGGAAAGGCTTTTCCCCACAACTAACATTTCTACATCATATATAGCTAAACTAAATCTAGTGGAGGCCAGGTAGCCCACTCTAGTAGAGCTTTGGGACGAGGATAAAGTAGTCCTAGCTGTAGGTCCCTGTAATAATTAATGTAACCCATTTAAATAATGTAATGCATAATTATTCAATAAAGACCGAGGCCAGGCCTCATTCTTAAAAAAAAAAAAAAAAAAAAAAAAAAAAAAAAAAAAAAAAAAAAAAAAAAAAAAAAAAAAAAAAGACATACATCGACTTCCCCAGAATTTTTCGATTCCGCTGTACTCCAATTAATTGCTATTACATTGCCAAAAGAATTTTATGATAATTCGATGATGCTTAGTAATTTTTGTTATCCAAGTTTTCATTAGTTATTCTAATATTTAATTACTAAGAATTCTTTCATAACATAATAGCAATTAATCGGAGTATAACGGAGTGCGGAAAGTTTTGAGGAGGTCGCTGTGGCATATCGATATTGTCGCCACTAATTGCGACTAGATTAATCATCACATATTATAATTGATGTAAAAATTAACGTCCGAATGTGATTTTCATAATTTTAATCATGTAACAATTAAGCACTATACTGCATAGTGCCCAAATTAAAAACCGGCTTGAAAATTTTTATACTGAGACACGTAATTAAGTTACTACCTTCTTACGTAATTAAGTTATACTTATTACGTAAATATGTCTGAATCCTACATTACGCCCAATACTCTTTGTGGTTGATAGATAATATTTATCAATTCTCACGACAGTACAAACTTTCCCATGCGGAGTTCAAGCTTTTATTTCACTGTTATATTTTTTTTGTTAGCTATTCAAATTTAGTTGATTAAATTTGGTGCAATAACATATTAGCGTTGTCAGAACCGTTTCTAAGATAAGTTGGTGAACTTTCGGATCAACTTTGCAAAATTTAGCTTTAGGTAGTTTTAATGATTCAGAAAAAGTTAATTAATTTTTGGGGTCAGAATCTTATTATAAAACAATATGACCTTCAAAGCTACTAGCATATCCTTATTATCATCGGAATTAAAGCAAACGTCTTTTCTACGTATGACATCTCTTTTTGGTGAAAAATCTAAGTGGAAAGTTAATTGTAAGTTTATAGTATTTAATCTGCAAGTTGCAGCAATATAAAAACTGGTTTTAATATTTTTATAGCGATAATAGTAAAAATGGAAAAAAAGACGGACAGTGAATCCGATTCACGTTCAACTTCAAGAAGTCGAGGCATGTCTCTTATTTCATTTAGTTCGCCGTAAAATTTCGGTAATAATTCCTTATTTTATCATGAACAGCAAGTTCTATTACGGCCTCAAGGTGAATATACGAATATACGTTCTATAATTTTCTTTTTCTATTTTGTTTTTCTAACGAGTCATCCTTAACTACAAGCAATTCTTGAATGTGTGCCAGGTTTATGGCGCAGTCAAAAATTTTTAAATTTCGTTTATATTAAAGTTAATACTCTTATTATGGTTAGAGTTTAAAAGAATATATAGTAGAATTGCTCAATGAAAACTTTTTGTCAGTTAGCGAAGAGTAGTTTTATATGCAATTTTTCAAGAAATAAGCGATTTTTGACAAAACGAATGTTCAATTTGAATTTCCTGTTTGTGTTACATTGCACCTGATCTTGAAATCTGATTCGTAGTTCAGGCAATCTGCGCCACAAACCTGGCACACATTCAAGAATTGCTAACTACAATGATAGTGATGTAACTGTTAATTTTTCCGCAAAGCCCGAAAAGTACGTACTTGATAATTTTTGTGATGCATCCTTGCCTTTATTTTATTTATTATTTTTACAAACGGTTTTTATCATTTTTATAACAAACGATTATTATTTTATAAGTATGGACAAGCTAAAAAAATATCGAGATCAATGGTGGAATCAGGGCAACTTTCATCCCATGGCAGAATGGGAAAAAGTGAAGTAAGTAATGTATATTCTTCATAAACTAAAGATAAATAAGCTAATCTTTCGCTAATTATACTGTATCAAGACTCCCATATATACTTGCGGAAAATGTGACTATTGATAAATATGAAGAACGTACAGACAGATTTAATGTCCGCGGATGTTGGGAATGGGATGCTAAATTCGAAAAAAACGGAGTAGTTTTAGGCGAAGTGGCAGTTTATGAGCTTCCGTTACAAGCACATGAGGTTTGCGCCGGCGAGATCTCTAGTTTAATTTTTGAGCAGTGTCTTCCTGCTAATCGGACAGATGCTAAAATTTATATTTTGGCAGCAACACGTAAGCATAATTAATTAACTTCCATATGTTTGTTATTTTTTCAAACTAATCTTGATTGCTTAAAGGGACTCGTGTCCGCGGTTTTGGCAAAGAAGCCGATGGGTCATTTCGCCCTGAAAAATCTTCAGTAGATTTACCAAATGGGAGCGATGGATTGGTACTTTTTTATTCTTATGTTTCTTTGGAATTCTTTAAGATTGATTTTAGATTTGATTTTTTAACTTGTAGAATGCACCATGGCCAAATCTCGTGGTAGAAGTCGCATCTTCAGAGTCTACTCGTCACGTCAAAGAAAAGGCAAGGAATTACTGGCTATACAACAATCGCGTTCGTGACGTAATTATTGTTAAGCTTTATGATGCTGCCGAAAACCAAATCCCAAGCCGTATGAAAGTAATTATATTTTTACAATACATGTGTCATCTTTGTTGAATATCTTTCTAAAGATTTAATCTACAACAGGTATGGCACTATTGTGTGTCAGGTACTTGTGTGCAATATAAACTTAAACCTAAAAATAAGGTATGTTATTCAGAAAACCAGAAAACCTTATTTTCTGTAGATTACAAAGTTTATGATGTATATTGATTAATTATTAGTTTGAGCTTGAGTTTGATACACACGATGCAAATGGTGATCCGTTAAGCTATCAAGAAGGAACACATGTGATTAGAATTCCTTTAGATTGTTTATATCACGACGTAAAACCCCCGATTGAAATTCCTAGAAGTGTTCTCCCGGATCCTATCATACTAGATTTCTTTTTTGTTAGGAAAGCAATCCTCAAATCATTTAGTTATAAATGCGAATAATTATTCTAGTTAACATTTAATAGTCGTAGTGCTTAGTTTATTGTTCATCTATGATTTATATACATGCTTAATATCAGTGTTGTGATTCAAGTCGGGATTGCTTCAATTCCAATATTACATCAATTCTAATTTCAGGCGCTTCAACTTCAATGTTATACACTTTGATTTAGTGTTCTGATCAATATCTAAACATATTACCTGGTGTTCAGTCAGAACCTGGTGCACGTGTTGTGGCATACTTAAAAAAATTTTTATATTATACCTTAAATCATTAATCAGGAAAACAATTCTTAAATATTAGTAGTAATGAAACCACTTTTTCAAGCTTTACGTCTTTTACTTCATCTTAATTTTTTAAAAAAATTTGAAGGCTATTTACGCAAGGCAAGAAAAATATTCAATAGAATGCCAGTATCCATCTCTGAGTATAGACCAGATCATTTTTTTTTAATGTACCTATAGGTACTTTACTGTATCTTAAATTCAGAGTACAATTATTTTAAAGTACTATTTAAACAAGACAAAATAATACTTTAACAACGTTTATTTTTTTATTTCTGTGTTACTGAAGCACCTGGCGTGCCTTATTTTCATATAAATAGTATTTAATGAAATTCGAAACTTGGTGTCCAAAATTCGAATGAATCTTTGTACGGTGTACCATAGGTACTCAAAGTGACATAGTTTGTGTTTTGGTGTTTTAGTGTTTTAATGTTTTAGTGTTTTAGTATTTTAGTGTTTTAGTGTTTTAATGTTTTAATGTTTTAGTGTTTTAGTGTTATAGATTTAAAAATTATTCTATAAAAGGAAATTATTACCAAATTTAGCAACAAATTTTTTGATTTTGTGTTTTTTAGTGTTTTAGTGTTTTAGTGATTTAGCGTTTTAGTGTTTTAGTGATTTAGTGTTTTAGTGTTTGTGTTTTAGTGATTTAGCGTTTTAGTGTTTTAGTGTTTTAGTGTTTGTGTTTTAATGTTTTAGTGATTTAGTGTTTTAATGTTTTAGTGTTATAGTGTTTTAGTGTTTTAATGTTTTAGTGTTTTAGTGTTTTAGTGTTTTAGTGTTTTAATGTTTTAGTGTTTTAGTGTTTTAGGAAATTTGTCCCAAATATGGTAGTTATGATAGGCGCATCATGCATAATGATCGGATCAGCCACGGAAGTTCGGGTGATGATCTACATAATTGATAGGTGACAATTCGAAAGTGCCACAATAATCAAAAATCTATTTTGACTAACCAAGAAACTAGACTTCTATTGAAAAACCTATTTTCAAATCAAAAATTAGACAACTTTGCTTATTAGTATTAGTGATGAAATAAAATATATGCTGCGGTTGCTACAGCAATTTCATAGATCATCATCCGAACTTCCGGGGGCAATTCTGGCTGATTTGATCATTCGGCTTAGACACATTATCGGAACAAAATGCATTAACTGCATTAATGATTATGCATGATGCACCCGTTATCAGCCTATCATAACTACCATATTTGGGTCAAATTTCCTAAAACATTAATACACTAAAACACTAAAACATTAAATCACTAAAACGCTAAAACACTAAAACGCTAAAACACTAAAATGCTAAATCACTAAAACACTAAAACGCTAAATCACTAAATCACTAAAACACTAAAACACTAAAACGCTAAATCACTAAAACATTAAAACACTAAAACACTAAAACACAAACTATGTCACTTTGGGTACCTATGGTACACCGTACGATTCGATCACTGACAATTTTTTAAGTGTCCCAGAATTTATGAAAATACCTGCAAATCTTATAATTCATAGACTTCAAGTTTAGTTCACAGCCGAGTTTATATTATATTAAAAGTAAACTTTTGAAGAGCATGCACATCTTGCATTTTTAACAGGCTGCTCAGATATTTGAAGATTATATATTCCATGGTTAACACCGACTATACTATGGTGGGTCTTCTCGCAGGCAATGTTGGCAATTTCCCTGCCAAAGGAAATTTGGTCGGCCATAAAACAGTCATTTGGCCAAGTTTATATATATATATTTTTGGCATTCAATGGCCTAATCGGTCTAAAAACTTGGTTTTGTCGACAATATTGCCAATACTGATCGTAAGGGATATTGTATACGGTGATTTGATGTAGTTTTGTTATTTAGTAATGGCAACAAACGATTAACATTAATATGATGCCTAATAGTAATATTATCGTAAATAGGAACAGCTAAAGTTAGTTGTTTTCATATTTACTCGGATCTGTCAAAGGAGGCAAAAAAAGGAATAGAAGCCTATTAATAAGAAAATGTCGTGAAGTAATAATTTAAATATACAATACCTCTACATTATTTTATTATTAAAAAAATTCCAATTCAACTAAAATTCCGTTCTCGCGACATACGTTACACTTGGTATTGAAATATTATTTGTTACGCCTAGTTCGCCACAAAAGTATTATGCAACGCCGATTTTTATGCCACAACAACAAATTTGTTCATTAATTCGGAACCTTACTCCGTTCGAAGTATACTGCAATTATCTTTATATTTTTATTTTTAAATACTTACGTACGTACGTACGCACGTACATGCCTAACTTAAAAATTTTGTAGTCAAGTCAAATATTATGTCAAACAAAGAAAGTTTATTAAGAATTTACAACAATCCAACCACAGAACGTACAATAAAAAGCCTTATTCACGATTATAAGGATAAGGTCTTGAAACGAATACATAATGACAATTTAACGAATACTTTAAATCAAGTTGTTAAAGAATTATGTAATATACATGATCAAGAAATTATGAAAGGCGTGAGTTCAATCCTTGTTGCTATAGAACAGTATATGATAGATAAACAACAAAATCCAGAAGAAATAATCAACTTATTCTTGAAAAATCCAACAAATGCCAATATTCAAGAAAATGCTATATTTCAAAACATTCTTGGATATTGTTATTTTTATGGAAAATGGGTCAAGCGGGATGATAATCAAGCATTTATTCATTTTCAAAAATCAGCAGAATTAGGAAATTCACTTGGAATGCATAATCTCTCATTTTGTTATGAGAATGGGATCGGAGTTGATAAAAATGAACATAAAGCAATTTTTTATTGCCAAAAATCAGCGGATATGGAAGATTCATATGGATTAATTAGCCTTGGAAGTCGTTATAAAATGGGAATTGGGGTTAAAAAGGATGAACATAAGGCATTCACATATTATAAAAAATCAGCAGATATGAGGAATGCACATGGAATGGGATGTCTTGGAGTTTGTTATGAACAGGGAATTGGAGTTAAAAAGGATAATCATATGGCATTCATTTATTACCAAAAATCAGCTGAGATTGGGGGAGCTAGTGGAACATTTCAGGTTGGATATTGTTATCGAAATGGAATTGGAGTAGAAAAGGATGAACATAAAGCATTCACATATTATCAAAAATCGGCGGAGATGGGAGATGCAGGTGGGATGTCAGAAGTCGGATATTGCTATCAAAATGGAATTGGAGTTGAAAAGGATGAAGATAAAGCATTTATTTATTATCAAAAATCAGCAGAAATGAGAGATGCAGGCGGGACGTCTAACGTTGGACATTGTTATCAAAATGGAATCGGAGTTGAGAAGGATGAATACAAGGCATTTATTTATTATCAAAAATCAGCAGATATGGGACACGCAATTGGAGCATATAATGTTGGACATTGCTATCTTTATGGGATTGGAGTTAAAAAGGATGAAAATAAAGCATTCATCTATTATCAAAAATCAGCCGAGATGGAAGATACTTATGCAATACGTCAGCTTGGGTATTGTTATCAACATGGAATTGGAATCAAAAAGGACGAATATAAGGCATATATATATTATCAAAAATCTGCGGATATGAAAATATTAATGGAGTAAACTGCAATAGACCCTGTTACGAATAAAAGACTAGAATTATAAAATTCAATTATTGCAAACCAATTTTGGAGAAATTAACCAAAGTGAATTATTTTAAATAGAATTAGATTTAGAATTAGAAAGATGAATGTTGATTACTAAAAACCTGCTAAGGTAGAAAGTAATTAAGTAATAGAATTTTATTTATTTTATGTATATTTATTTTATGTATATTTTTTTTATGTATATTATGTGCGTTTACTAAATACTTGATTGGTTCATTTATTGTAAAATTAAAATGCGATTTTCTATTATGGTATTGATCTATATAATGAGATGTAAAAAATTTTTTTATTTTTGAGTTAAAATAGAAGCTATATAATCTTTTTAAACATAAGTTAGGTGCTATTATTTTTTAAAATTTTCGTGACTTTGTATATACTAAAAGTATAGAAGTATGTAAGTTCATAAATGAAGATTCACAAATGAAGAACTTATACTATAGTATTATACTTATAAAACATTCCTGGCGATTAAAATTCATCCCAATCCCGAGTCTAACTAGCTTATCACTACACTTATTGAAATAATTGGAGAAACACTTATGTATCAATCAGGTCGTGGGCACTAACGTCATGTAGCAATCGTAGGACGTTTCTTCTCAGCTTTCAAGATTAACACAATCAAGAAGATTCAAAACAAACGTTTGTTCTGCCAAAAATTGCCCATAGCTCAAAAATCATCATAAGAAACCATCTTTTGTGCTCTAACAAAAATTTTTTGTTTGACAATTTTACAATTAAAACTACTCTTCTCCTAACCTTCACGAACCTTAACGAATTTTAAGAATTTTGTCTGCGCCACCAACCTGGTACACATTTTCCAATTGCCGAAAGGTTATCATTCTTTTATGGTCAGTGATAGAGTTCTTTATTTTTCATATGTTAAAACTGGTTTCCAAAAATCTCTAATCAGTGATAATAAATCATATATAGAAAAATGTAAAATGTAAATATTCCGTGAATAGATATGAAATTTTGAATCGGGACACTAATATTTATGTCTGAAAATCATGCTTTTACTATCATTTGTTACAACATTTGAATATAAGAATTTTAAAACTTAATCGT